TGTGATTTAATCTAGAACTAGGGCTTAATCCCGGTATGGGAAACCGGGCCATGGTGCCCATTTAGACATTTAGTTGTTAAATATATTTGAAGCCATATGCACAATCAACCTCTGATGCTGCCTGCATATAGAAGCAGGTGTAATCCTTATACCATACAGTGTTTGCACAGTTTTTCTTGCCTTGTGCCTGATGATTGCAAGAGCAGTTTTAAAAACTGCAAAAGATGTCAACGGAAACAAAAGTGATATAACATGACTAGATGGAGTGCAATTTATGAGAAGAAATTTACCTTTTTTTTTTCTTTCTCCAATTTTGTATTAAAATGTTTAGTATTATGTGGTAGTACCTAGGATAACACAGGACACAGAAATAATGTTGATGAATGTAAATCATGAATATTTGAATGTTTAAAATGAGCAGTGAAGATTGATTTGAGACACTGCTGAATCCTCATCCCCCTAAACAGTGGCAGAGTCTAGCATTTAGGGATTTCTAGAAACAAATTGTGAAACTGATGTGGATCCTTTTTCATTGCATTTTGAATGATTTTTGTTGTGTGTAAATTCTACTCTTGGGAGACAAAAATTTGAACACAAAATAAAACAGTAAAATAGAAATAGATTTTGGATTCTCATCTTGTCCTTGGGACAGTTTTATCACTATCTCTTTAAGAGAAATACAAATCGATTAATTGGAATTGGATTGGGATCTGTGTATATTAAAGTTAAGAAAGTCAGTAACGAATACAATTCCTATAGATTCAGCATAAAATTGAGCTTTATTTACTTGCAATCCAGTAGTTGGTACTAACGCACCTACAAGCTGAGTCACCAACCAATGAAAAACATATACCTCAGAGCTGGAGGCAGCAGCCAGGGTACAGCCAAAAAGCTGCAGTCGAGTCAGACAGTTCTGAGCAGCCTTCAGTCTGTACAGGAAGCTACAGAAACACTCACATCCTATTAAACCTGATTTTGATTTGATAATATGGTATCAGATCCATAATGCCATCCAGGCAATCCAATCTTTGTTCATGATTTAACTTCCATCTGATACAAATTCTCGCATCAATCCGAATCATATGAGTTTACTGCTGTATAAAAGTCAGCTGAGATGACCTGTCCCTCTCAAACTACAAAACTTTAAACAATAGCTAGTCAAATACAAAGAAAAAAATGAGACAACTTTCACTACTGATGAGTCAGATACGACTCAGGGCTTCACATCCTGACATCCCACTTAGCTGAAGTTTTTATGCTCTTGAATACAATACTTACCAAGTCAGTCCAGTGTTAATATATAGTTCACTGCAAAAGCGATATAATGTATGCAGTTTTACTTTAATATTCAGCCTCTCGGACTAATAAACAGCGCTATATACCACACGTTTATCAACAAAATAAAACAGAAAAAATTGCTAAAATCTACTTCTTCTGTAATTCAAAAGAGGTTTAAAGTGCACATTGCGAAACACATCAGTTGTTACATTAGCCGAGAGCCGGGTGTTCTTCATCATGCTGAGGCTGTGCAGAGCAGCAGTAATGTCTGCACCCTCCTTCATCTCACGATGGTCAAGTCAGAATCAAAACAGCTGCATTGTGAGACAGATGCCAATGACTGGCTGCGTAGGATTGTCTCATCACAGATGAGCCCACTGTGACAGTGTGAGCTTGCTAGCAGCAGCTTAGTCATGAATGTTTATATTTGATTTAAATGATTCTCCTATAATGTGTCACATTGTGACATGTGAAGGGTGTATTTTGTTGGTAGGGTGAGTATTGAGTTCCCTACTTGCTTATTATTTCATAGCTTTCAAGGAAATTATTACTATTTCTTTATTGATTATAATTGTTTTATTTAATGAAATAACAGTTCAATAATTCATTTATTTTTAAAGATCATAGTTTACATAGTAGAAATGTAACCAAGTTTTAGACAAGGATATTTACAGAGCAACACACAACGTTGCAGCAGGTTTTAACACTTACAGCCATGCATGGCAAAGGAAACAGCCTTCCACTAAAATGGAAAATTGTCTTTGTCAAAGACATCCAAGCACAGCTGCTGGTCATTAGTTGGGTTCACTGAGATGATTCTGTCAGCATCATCCATGGTACCAACAATAACACCCACAATTACAGTGAAATCTTACACAGGAGCATCTTCCTACATTGTAATGTAACGTTTACATACAGAAAGACAGTTTGTTTTTGAACACAGTTCCTGATCTTGATGTACCTCTGCTCTGACAACCAAAGTCCACAATACATCACTCGAGACTTTCATTGTGCCTCTGCCTCCTCTTCGGAGGGTTCCTCGCTCTCTGATTGGTCTTCCTCATCGTCATCCTCACTGTCACTCTCCTCCTCTGCAGCGTCCTCTTCATCCCTCTCTACAGCCGGCATCTTAACCACAATCTCGTCATCTGCATCGTCATCGACAACCATGGACTTCCTCCTCTCCAGAAGAGAGGGGGTGCAGACTGGTGTGGTGTCCTGAAGTGAAACAGAGGAGCTCATCAGTGGCACTGGTACAGAGGGATTACTGATTTTGACTTTCCCCGAAGTGGATGTTGGTACATGGGTTTTATCACGGCGCCACAAGACAACACACGCAATAAGCTTAACGCACCACACTGCTGTAGGCACAGTTATCTGACCACAGATCACTGATACACCTGGGGTCATTTTCAGTGTGTGCCAAAGCTTAACATAATAACCTGTGCTGGTCTTACTTCACTACACGTAGATGCATTCACGGCATCAGAGGACTTCTTCTTCGGAGGTACCTGGGCAGCCTGGAAAGCAAGAGCACTAAAGTTAAGCATGATGAAAACAAGAAACAGAAGCGTGTAACAGTAACTCCAGCATGTTACACACCTCTAAAATCCATTGTGTGAACTGAAAGAGCATGTCAATTATCACAGCTCATCGGACATTTCCAAACATTTTCTGAATGGTTATCCTTATTCTTACCCTAAGGTTCCTAAAAGCAATGTTTGACTATATTTAATGAAAAAATACTGCATAGAATTTATATATAAATTTCAACTCTCAATTTCGAAACACTTACAAATCCTGGAAATTCATAGTTGATACCGTGCGCTGCAAGCCTCTTGCGAAGCTTCGACTCTTTGCGCAGTAGCTTGTCGGTCATCTTGGCGATCTGCTCTGGGGTGTGCGTCTTATTGTAGCGTGCTACAGCAGGATATTTGGGTTTTTTAAATTGCCTTTGACTGCCAACAAACAGTTTTTCATGCACCTTTTCTGGTGGAATCACGTGACCTGGGAAATGGGAAGAGGCAAAAATGGGTTCCTGATATAAATCAATCATACAAATTAAACTGAACAA